GAGCAGGCAGGTGGGCACAAGCTGTTGTACTTCACACCGAACAGTATTATCGGTGACCACGGAAGGGAGACGTTTGCTTATTTATCTTCTCCATTTTTACTATGTTATTGCTTGCCACTTTTTTGAGGCAATTTTTTTTTTTTTGATGGGAAACCATAGCGAAAGCACAAATAGAACTATTTGTCCAATAGTTTTAAAAACAAAAGTTTTAATTATTTTTTAAGGTTTATGAAAAGCAGAAGAAAATTTATACTGCTGCTATTTAGCCAAAAGATTATTCATAAGGTATTTAAGGCCAGGAAATGTAAAATTATGTTTTAAATGTATTGATAATTTGTACATATTGTTTATAAAGGCCTTGTGTTTATTAGAATTACGTTATTTTGATGATTTCTGTACATACTCGTAAATACCCCCAATTTGTGTGAAAACATACTCCCTTATTTGTACTTATTTTGTAAAGAAATAAAACAATTTACTGAAGTAACACATTGAGTGACATACAGTATTAATTTATCAAACATGAATTTCACATTGTCTTGCAGTTCTTAAGCACTGTTCAGAAACATTTTGCGTTAAAATATTAACAGAATACCCACAAAGAAATATTAAAACCAAATACTTCAATGTTTTGTTGTGCTGATTCATATCCTTTGTCAAACATCTAATAAAATTGTCAACAAACCTCGATGCTATTAATACAGTGAATGAATGCACTCAGCAGTTGCTTTCTCAAAAGCGATCAGTCCAATAAGCACAACAGAACATTCTTTCACTTTCTGAGACTTGGGAGCACAGCGGTGTGGCAGGGTTGCACACAAAGTGCTAGCCAAGACTCCTCTTCTTCAAGCCACAGTTTCAGTGCTCAGCAACAGAGAATCGGAACAATTTTTGTTCAGTCGAATTAGGCGACAAACCAGGCGACGTTTACTTTCTGCCCTTCGTAATGAAAACGTTTGCTGGCTGTGCACCACAGCTTTCCTGGAGTTTCTATGGTATTTTAAAACCTGTTTTTGCGATGCTGAGCAATGTTCTTAATTAAGTTATGTTGCTATGGTTTAAGGCCAGAAGTAAAAATTCAAATTGTTTTTTTGCTGATATTGCTGCCTAAAAATATAGGGAAATAAGTAAAAAATATATAAATGAAACTGTAATAAACTTTAAATAAGTGACCTGAAGTTACTAACTAAAAGAACATGTTCTAGCTTTTTTTTTTTTTTAAAGGCATATTTCTTCTAACAAAGTGATTGTTTCCACATGTCTTCCTTGCCTTAGTGCTATTTTGCAGTCAATGCTGTGATGTCATGGCTCAAACTTTCCATCTCAAGTTCACATATACCTTGGCTGGCGCAGCCCGGAACCCTTCCCGATGCCGCCTTAGCAAGCTGCCTGAAGTACCGGAGCTGCTTTATTAAGCTATAAAAAAAAAACATGGTAAACACCAAACTGAAGAAAACCAACCCAACCAACCACAAACACTTCCAGTGGCATTCTACGTACATCTAAGCGCGTCGTCTGGCCCCTGTGCGGAAATGTAAACATGAGGTGGTGCCTTTCTCCCTGGCAAGAGGTAACAAAGGGAGAGGATGCGCTGACAGACAGACAAGTGCTCGGCCGCTGCTAGTGCTAACTGCCCCGGTCAGGAGGGCAGGACTGAAGTGTACATGGGATAAAAACACAAAGCTACCTGGGTTATTTAAGGATACCGTGAACTTAAAGTGAACTCAATGTATGAAAGTAATAAATAAACCACTTTTTTTTTCTTTTCCTAAGACACAGCTACATCAAGCTGAATGGAGCCAAAGGCCGGAGGAGACGCAATCAAAGTTCTCACCTCTTTCAAACAACATGGGAGACACAGTGAGTGTTCCACCCTACTTGCTTATTTTGATCATTTACTTTACAGAAATGTTTATGGCATGAAGTACTGTATAAGAAATGTGCATACACAAATACATGACAATTATACGTTAAGTTCTTTACAATATTAAATGTATAATATACAATTCTACAGATATCTTACATACAAAGGTGAATGTTGTGCCATATATTCAACTATGGCAATGCCTAGCAACTTTAGAATGTCGTACAAGTATAAAACCACAAAATAAAATAACTTTACAACTCTTTTGAAGTAGACAGATTTGCTCAACTGTTCTGCTAAGTTAGCAGGCCAACACGTAGGGGCTAAGGTTTCCAGAAGAGATTTCCGAGTTGGGTAACCAAGGTGAGAAAACCTGCAGAGGTCTGATTTTCCACGGACAGGTATCCAGCCCTTTTCCAAAAATGAGACCCCTGCCCAGATTGTACCCTGGATAGTCAGTACAGCTCGTCGCTTTTGAAAATATTGAACAGGATTTTTTTTTTTATTTTGCCCGATTGTAGTCATTTGGCATTAAAGAATTGTTGACCACTTCATACTCTGTCCCTTGTTCTGTATGGCCGTATTTATGCATCTAAAAAGAGTTCAATTAAAATTCAGCATCTACAACAGCATTCTATAAATTAACGTGGGAGAAACTAAATTGTGATTAACACATGAATTAGTTATTGAGGACCCAATCATGCTAAACAGCAATAAAGAGGATTTAGCAGAATGCTATTTATAACCTTGCACCTGCAAACACGGTGCTTGTCTCCTGAGTTAGGAAGCCCTGCAAGTCAGAGTCCACACCGACTGATGGAAGGAGCAGTAACCTCCTGCAGACAGCGGGCTTCATTAAAGAGAAAATTACACAGATAGAGGGCAGCTACAGAATCGGTATTTTAATAATGGTTTAAAATAATAGAGGAAAAACAACCTAAACAAAAGGTGGCCTGCTCTCATTGGACAATGGCAGTAGAGGGGTTTAACATCTTTTTGCAAAAATTCCAGACCCATAAAGAGTAGGCTTGTCCAAAATTCTTAACATTTCCTCCTACATGTGGGCTCATAACATGGTTAGTAAATGACTAACAAGGGGTGGCAGAGCTTGCTTGGCAGAACCACGCTGCTTTGATGATGCAAAACTTAACAGTTTCTGAGTCAAAACGAGACTGGCTTTAAGAGAACTACAGCTCCCCAGCAGGTGTGTGACCCTTGCGTGATGGTGGATGGCATTTCATTTTGTGCTTCCAGATCCCTACTTTTGCAAATATTGCCACAATCGGCCTTGTCACATTTTTTGTCACTTCTTTGTTTCGTGTTTGGGGGGGCAGGGGTTAGTACTGAGCACCAGTTGACTATAAATTGGTCCTTTTCTGATTCTGGCTTCTGTCCACAGAGAGATATTTCATTTGGAAATGTATAAAAATAAGCCATTTGCTAGCGTGAGTGAGTACAATCACCAAAGTGTAATGTAACGAATGTACGGAGGTGTAAAGCACGTTTGATATGAAGGGGAGATACTCAGTGCAGTTTTTAGTGTACATCTTCCTCTCGGAGGCGCCCACTTCCACACATCACAGCATCGGGGTGTCGTTGGAAAGACTGCCAGAACCATTTCTCCTGCTGATGTCTTCAAATTGCTTTAACTGGTCTTTCTGCAGAAGTCCAATGTAGGGTCAGGGGTTTACAAAGCTTTGCCTTTTTCACCATGGCAGCTGTTCAGCCCAAAGTACATTCCCAGCAGGCCTGGTACGCTGAGCATGCTCAGGAATTTCATTGTGAAAAACGGACAACTGGTTTTTCAAATGCATTTCATGGCTGGCTCTGTGACAGGTAGTTTCAGAATACCACTAATTGGCAACATAAAGTCAAAATCTGTTTGCTAATACTGTTTTGCAAATCCTTAGTGTTTCACATAAGGGACTATTAAACACTTCTACGGTTACAAAGGAGTAGGGGTAGGGTCTAGTCCAGTGGCTCCTGTTTTATTCTGATCGTTGGGGTAGGTTGTGGTCGTCTGTCTTCGCGACACAGCACGTATTCACTGAACTGAGAGGAATCCACCCCACCACCGCACGAAGCTGCCACGTTAAATCCCTTCTGAAATAATCTTTCGAGCACCTGCAATGTGGGGAAAAAAATCAGATTAATACTTAGCAAATTTTAGTGATAAAAGCATTCAGGAGCACTGCATCTAAATGATGGATTTAGTCTTTTGAGTCCTTGTTGAATGAATATTATTCAGCTATAATTCTATAACTTATTCTTAAATGACTACACTGTGATTAAAGTCTCGCTCTCAGCAAACCTCTGTAGAAAACAAAAATTAATCAAACAAATAAGCACTCTGCAGAGCAACTTAGTACATTATATAGTAAAATACTGGACTGGTGATACTGATGCTATCTCTTACTCCTTATAGAAAGCAACATCGGGTTTAAGTCGTAATAACAAGTGCCCATTATTCATTAGTAATATGAACAGTCTTACAGAAAGGGGCTGAAAACATTCCTTAGCTCTTCCTTGGCAGGTGAAAATGTATGTGAGTCTGAGTGACGCTTCCACCAGATCTTCACAGAAATCGCAGCTGTGATTTTCCCTTGCTGTGGAAGGGAGCGCTGCTTTTAGCAAAGCATGGCAGGGACGGGATGTGGAGCCATGACGTGGACAATAAGAAAACGTTCTGGCCCGAGAAAGAGATTAATTTGTATTGCCCAAATATGTATTTTCTCTTTCACCTTCTAAAGAAAAGTTGGTGCAATTTAGATGCATGAATTTAAGGAACCCAGAGGCAACTTTAATTTCTGAGACTGTCACACAGCACATTACCCTAGGATATACGGATCTTGGCAATATGATTGGGGCCGTGTTTTCACATGGGTGAGCGTGTTGATATACCATTTCCCAGCAGAGCAGGACACACACAGACTTCCCTCGGCATTAGGTGCGAGCGGATGCCAGATGCACCTTTGGCGGCTCTGCAACGCAAGATCCAGCAGAGGAGATGCCGTACTGCCTCCCTCTCGCTGGTGGCCGAGTCCAGGGCAGCAGCCTGGATACACACTTCCCCTGGTTTTGTCTACTGATAAATGCCATCCAGGGGAGCAGCCTGTACCGTTCTGTAACCATCTCGCCCACGGTACCGCTCCCATTGCTACAGCACATGGGCCCACCCTGCTGGGAAGTGAACCTGATGATTTACTAAACCTGGTGAACTTGGTAACACCAGCATCCCCACGTGATGGCCATCTGCTGCCCACGACAGGGACTAAGCTATTTAATAACTTGTTCACTCAACCTAGAGAAGTGTCTAAGCAATATACCCACCTTCAGATGGAGCCAACTCGTACACTTTTGTGAGTTTATGTTACAGAAAGAATTTTATTTCTTTTTTGGTTTTACTAGCCCTGTGAGCACTTCAGCAGTTACACCTACTGCAGTAGTACTTAAGTATCTTACGTTTCAAGGCCCAAGCTGACTCTGTTAACAGATCTGCACACCAGACTGCTGCCATGGCACACAGACCCACGTGAGGCCATGGTGCATTTCTTAGTGCACCATTGCTTTTGCCTGAACGTTGGCTTTGCTTTCTCCAGAAACGTCACTTGGAGCCTTTATTATGGGTAACTGGTTCCAAAAGGACAACTGTATCCAAGGTGATACTGTAGCGTTTGCTGGTTTTAAGCCTTGGGAACCCTCTTTTGAGGAGGTCGCCCATGTTACCCATCTGTGTTTTAATCCATGGTTTGGGTTTTTAGTGGTAACTAAAACCTTGCACTGGCTACCCTGGCTGCTAAGGGCAGGCGAAAGAAAGGAGCTGCTCTAGCACAGCTTTGCCTAAACCGTGCTGAATCTGATGGAAATCAACGTGCCTGAGGAGCTCTGCCTGGCCTTGGACACAGGGACTTAACATTCTCAGAAAGTCGCGTCTGCCAAATCTCACTGACTTTTGCCCTGATTTTCATATACTTTGTACTGTAAGAAAGTTGGAGAAATGAAAGACTGAAAAAGCACCCCAGTGTATGGAAGAAAAATGAACCCGGAGAGATTAAAAAGAAGGGTGAGGAGAGTGGGTTATCAAAATATATATATAGAGAGAGAGAGAGACAGAGAGAGAGAAAGCTTACAACTCTCTTATTTGTCCAGGCTGTACACAGCCGGTAGGACAAAAGTGGGATGCAGACACTAACACGTGTTCCTGGCTCAAAGAGGACGGCAGGAGTTTGAGAGGGAAGGAGGAACAAGGCTCCACCAGAGTGCTGTTTCACAGGCTGCACTGTGTTTTGGTTGTTTTGTGCATCCCTGTTTCTAGACCTGGCAAGATGAAAACAAAAGGCAACCCAGCTACAGGAAAGGAGGCTTCTTCCATTTAACTGGATAGCGAAACAGAGGATTGACAGGTAAGATTTCAGAGAGAGACATGACTTCAAAATCCTTGCTAAAAACTTTTTAAAATCAACTTGCTTGTAAGACAAAATAAGCACGGGGGTGCCCTTGGCTTGCCTTGGTCCAAAGCTATGGAAGGCTGCACGTTAACATAGGACTCTTCTTTACTGAGCCAGCTCTCTGCAAACACACAGTCCAGGTAGACATTACACCTCAGAGCACCACATGCAGAACAAAGCAATTCATTTTTGCTACCTACGCGCTCGAAGGACTAGACTGCAGGCTATAATCTAGTGTTAAAAACCTCAGTATCATCAATTTTCTCAGCAAGAAACAAAACAGGCCAAATCCTGTAAACAATGTAGAGAGTGTTTAAATATTGTCAAGTTTTAAGTGCAACTTGGATGAGGTTGAGCTCAGGTCTATGGAGAAAGGCTCCTAAAGGCTGCTTCCATGTGTGCTGAGCACCGGTTTGTATGGGCCAGTGCCTGCACAAGACTAAACGGCATGTTGAACGTGAAGAGATTTAAATGCCATTTAGTGAATTTGGCTCTACGTGCATTACTTTTTCTGAAGGTAAGGTACAGAGGGAAACCAGTAAGCATCTCTGAATCAAATCAGAGCTACTTTCCCGTAAATCTCCAAAGAGAATATGCCAAAAAGTAAATGAGTATCAACCGTGATTCTCCTACGTATAGGGGGACACACACACAATATTAAATAGAGGATTTGTGCTAGGATTTAATATACTCTGTCTTCCAGTATTCCGAGCACATCGAGATACAGACTCTGATTTTGTTGGAAGGTTTTCCAAATAGAAACATGATACTTTTCACTTACTGCATTTCATTTGAATTTTGCAGAATACTAATGAATACAGTCTTAATTATGAAGACTCAGTGTTCAACATATACAATCAGAAGTTTCTCTAAGGTAAGCTCATGTATCTCACCAGAACCTGTTGCAAGGAGTTGAAAAAACAGTGTCAGTGTTAAGAAAACTCTAAACCTGTATGTCATTACAAATGGGTGTTAAATTAAGAGCTACTGCATTTTTTCTTGGCTGCCACTAGCTACTCAGTGTTGCCATTCTTTGGTTTATATGCACAGTTCTTGACACAAAACATTTAATGAAAATATTTTCCAAAGATCCAAAGAATTTATAAATATTGCGGTTGTGGTACCAAATACATTCAGCAGGGCACAGGAGACAGAAGTGATGTATCTCGGCAAACAGCAGGCAGACGAACCGCATTGCTCTTTGAGATTCTTTGGAAATGACTCTGCTCTTCCAACCGGTACCCCTTCTAACCCCTCTCCCTTATGTCTATGCATTTACTTCACTGTACTTCCAACTTCTGACTTAATACTGTTTTGCCAAAAAATCCTGGGAAGGGGAAGGGCAGCGCCTATGCGCTGACCAGAGTCCATCACAGCCAATGATAATTAGCTGCTGATTTCATCAGCCTTTGGCCTCAGAAATGCATCACTCCAGAAAGTGTTTGAAAACACTTTCTATTAATTAAATAGTAAAATGATGTAATTTAGTAAAATGATGTAATTTAATAATGTTATTTAACCTGTAGACTCTTTGACAGAATTTTTTTTTCACAACATGAACTCGTGAACAGACTCTTTGATTCCGCCTGAATTTTGACTGAATTCAAAACACATTCAAATAACAACAATAATTAGCATTCAGCTTTTACTACAATCACACGTTTCCTACCAGTACGCCGCTTTGGATAAAACAGAGCCAAGTGCTAAGCCACGTGGGCGCCCAGTGCTTTGCCCGGCTGCTTGCAGTGCTGAGCCCGTCAGTGGCTCGCAGTCACCCTTTGTTGTTTCAGTTTTTCTAATTTCTCTCATGTATCTAACTGTATCGCATGGACAGCGTGCCTGAGAAACAAACATGCTTCCCTGTCTGCCTACCTTAGCTAACTGCAGCTGCTCCCTTCTCCACCCAGCACAGCAATGAATTCATCACTGTTCCCACTGCCAGCAAATGGATCTGCCTCCGACCCACCTCCAATCTTCTACTTTTGGGGCAGCCCGCTCTAAACCTTGCCAGACATGAAATTGCTAAGGACTGTGCAAAATTAACCACAGGCACTGGACTCTTAAAGTTCAACCAAATAAAACGCTTGGGAGTGTTGAACCCAAAAATCACCAGAAATATCTGGCTTTAGAATGGTTTCAGACAAAAGTGTCTATTCGTGCACAGTGCATTAGGGAACGCTGCCTCGAGGACGGAGGTGCCAATGTCAAATGCAGGTTGGTAAAACAACTCCATCCGCCTTTACGTATTCTGGTAACTGCAGGTCTCCCAAAAATGTTGTCAGCTGCCAGCTGGGGAGATGGAGGCTGCCTCAGCTTGCTGTGTAATAACAGTCTGGGTAAGCAAGGGCTCTAGGTTCTCGTCCTCCCTTGCTGTTATGCCCCCCTAGACCCGGTCTGGCCAGCCTGCCCCACGGGCCAGCTCTTCTGTGGGTATTTGCCCACAGGGAAGTTTATCAAGACCACTAAGGCGTTTCCCACAGCCCATCTGCAGGGGACGGGAACTTTGGAAATATTCCCCTACAGGTTGATTTCACTTTCCATACTACAAGTATTCTTTGCAGCATATTTTAAAGGCATACATGCAAAAACCAAGAGCTCTGTTTTGCCCTTGTTAATTAAGGCACAAGTTAGCACATCATCAGCACCGTTCCTTCTCTGCAGCCCAAGGACAGCTACAACACCAAAGCTTTGGCCGCAGTGGCAGTGATCCCTTGTGAAATGGCATTTCTTGCCCATAAGGCTGCTGCCTAAACACAAGCCACATATTTATTTCTGCTACCATCCGCCTATCTGTCCAGTTATCTTCTTTTGTTTCATATGTTTAATTTTAAACCTAATGTCAAAACTCTGAGTATAAAATGAAATACATTTTGTTTAAAATACTCTGGGCAATTTTTATAGAACATCCTTTTGAAAAAAAAAAAGTGCAGAGATCAATTTTTTTAAGTCCATCCCGCAGGCACCATCATTTAATTATGAGTGAGACATAAATTATGCATTTACACATTGTTGCATTTTCTATAAAATGGTGTGGAGATTTTTTTTGTAGTTTTTGGAACTCTCTCTTTCTTCCTGGGGGCACTTTGGAGGAAAAAAAAAACTGCTGCAGGCTATACATTGATGAAAAAATTAGCATTTATCAGTATAACACCATTATGAGACCAGCATGCCACTAACATACACAAAATCTAAATCTATTTTTCCACTTAGACTTAGGAAAACCTGAAAGACTGTGATCTCACCAGGCAGAAAATGTCTCCTTGCAGTATAAGCACTGAAGGTAATTGGGCAGAAGCAAATAATTTGCATATAATTGAACAAGAAATAATACAAAAATACCCCAGCAAATAGATGAGCCAGCATTGAAAGGCCATTACCTGCACTGAATTCAACCGGCAGTATCCGTTCAAAGGAAACCTAATAACGTGGGTAGGGTCCTGGTTCCAGCCGGCATTTACAGAGTTGCACATGACGTCCCCGGTCTCGGGGAAGATCTCTTCTATTAAAGCTTTCTCCCCACTCAATGCAATTCTTTCCCCCAGATCTGGAGTCACTCTTACAACCAAGCAGTCACAAGGCTGGAAATGTTTCCTTTGTTCTTTCTCTTGTTTCCATCGCTCAAGTTCCTTAATCATTGGCTGCAGCTGGTAATACTTTGCTTCTTCATATAAAAGATTAAAGTCCTGGGAAAAAAAAAAAAGAGAGGGAGAGAGAGAAACTAGACATGCTTATAGTTCTCTCTTAAAAATGAGTATTGTTCCTGTTTGACCTACTTAGGCTTCTGTATTGTCAGCAAGAGTGCAAAGGCAACAGGTATCCACATACTTTGTCTTCGTCTTACACCTACACAGAAAACCACACTGTGTTAATGTTCGATCTATTTGAGCTGACCATGAAGTTCCCATTGCACTGAATTAGTTTTTCATTTATTATCCCACAAGGTCAATGCCAGAAGGATTTACTTTTGTATTAAGAAATCAAAATAACTGGTTGCAATAAGCAAAGCCTGCTGATGTAAGAGGCGATGTCCTGAGCCCTAATCTTCGCTCTTGGCCTCAGATACTCACTTTTGATCTTACAACAGAAGATCTCGGGCTTTGCTGTCACCTCTCGCACACATGTTATGAGACGGAGATGTCAGTTCGACTTCACTTCTCACCTGTCTTTGCTGAGTCTGAAATTCAGCTGCAGCAACTCAGCTGCTTCCTGTGTTTCACCATTATTCATGTATTTACAGCGTACTTTGGAGCCTGGTAAATTATACAGAGGTAGTGACTTCATGTATTTACAGCGTACTTTGGAGCCTGGTAAATTATACAGAGGTAGTGACCATCCCGCTGGCTGGGAGCTCATCTGTGTGCTCCAACAACTTAAAAGAAATAGTTCTTCTCAGCCATTTGTCCATCACCTCACTTGGGCTTTGGGCAATTCAAATTCCCAATTTGAGCGAATGCCCAGTTCACAGATTGAGATGTCTTCTGCACATCCTCATTAATAACTTATCAGATTTCCCACAGGTCTTTCCACCTCACCTGAAATGCAGTACATTACATTGAGGCAAACGGTGTCAGCAGCCCCCCAGACCCGAGGAGGCAGCAGCGTCCGCCAGACCAAGCCAGAGAAGAAAGGGAGGGGGAAGCACCCAAGGATGGTTTGCTTACACTGAGCCCACCACCTCTCCCAGCCTCCTGAAGGGAAGAGGAGCAACAAGAGCAGAGCACCAGCTCCTCTCTGCAAAGAGCTGCCGTTTGCTTTCCTAGCTCTTGCGCCTGTTTACACATGGAAATGCTGCACCGCAGGTACGCTACGTGGCTTTTGTGGAGTATGCTGTAGGTCAACACCTGGACCTAAAGGCCAGTTCTCCACCACTGCGATGAAATGAAATGAAAAATCACAAGAGTGAAATGAATGGAATCATTTAGGTTGGGAAGAAGGGCATGACAAGAAGTAATCAAGAAATGGGCACCAAAATTACATGAAAAATAAGGGCAGTGCTGCTGCTCCAGGACTCAGGGAAGAGGGGAAATCAAAAGGCCAATGAATGTACAGCACAAAAAGGTGCGACTCTTCATAGCGGCTTAGAATTAACCTGTAAAATCTGCTGCTGCAGGATATTACTGAACCAAAGCAGTTAGCTGTGTTCAATTTTGGCACCACAGACCCACCGCCAGTAGTGGAGAGGTGCTCCTTCACCCCAGGGCTGCCTACAGCCTGGAGGTGTATGAATATTCACAGTGACACCGGCAAGGTTATCAGTTACAAAAGGGACATCCCATCCTTTGCATCTCTTTGATGTCTGTAACGGCTGAGACAATACACACACCACTAAGGGAGGAAAAAAGGACGGAAAGAGAGAAAAGAGTGATAAGAGCAAGTGGGAAGAAATAAGGACAACAAACAACTCAGAGGAAGGAGATGGAAGATGAATAACAACAGGAAGATTAAAGAAGCATCATCCCCTGATGGAAGGTACTTTTCCCCCTCCCCAAAATCAGCGCTCTGCACGACCATTACTGGTTTTCTCTGTCCACTGGTGAAGCTCCCTGGTTACTGAGCATGGGATTGGTTTAAACTTATGGGGATTAGTGGCCTAAATTAAAACACAGTCCCTGCCCCAAACTTTCTGAAATCTTTTTGTGCAGAACACTGGAGCAACACAGTCCACCACCTAACTGCAGTAATTACAGAGGTGTGTGCAGGGCGGGTATCAAACATTTGCTGGGCATGTGCTGGTCCCATGTATCTCTTTTTTGAGTAAAGGAAAACGTGAAATGCTTAGGAAAAATGTAATGCTGTAGAGCGAACAGGAGCATCCAGTGCTTACTGAAGGCAACGGAATGACTCCCACTGGTTTCAATAGGTTCTGAAAACCCAGTTTTAGACTATCTGTGTTCATGGTCACTATAAAATATTATTTGTAAGGTCAATCAACTGAATATGTGCTAAGAAAACTCAACAGTAAAACCTAGAAGAGGGGGTACAGCAATATAAAAACTGGTCCTTCATTTCTGAAAGTAAAGAGAGGTACAGTGCTCCTGAGGCTGGAAGCAAAGCCATTACATTCATGAGAGTCTTTTCGACTGACTTCACTGGGCTTTGGACTAGGCTGACAGTATCCTGAATCACAGGACCTCAATGGTCCGGGCACCCTCGGGCCAAAACAGTAATGCCATAAAGCATACAAAACCAGGATCACACCACCTGTACCTCCCCCACAGCCAGCTATGAGCCCACTGCATCAAATGCAACTCTTCAATGACTCCTGCTAACCAGCACTTGTCCTAAATAAACAAGATGATACATTTTATATTCTGATATAATTTTGTGCTAAGACAACCAGTTTTCAGATAGAACAGCTCTTCTACTCTGTTCCCAGAACGATACGGCCATGCTGCAGATGGCTCTGTGGAAACAAGAGCTCTGCTGCAGCATCATGTTCTCCATGGTATGCACCCAGTCATAAACCGCCTGGGTTAAGCCAAAGTGCTTGGGTTAGTTTTTAAAATGAGACTCTCATCTCCATGTCCATTCCACAGTTGAGTTGAGCACAAATATGCTGGAAAGGGTTTTGCACCTGGAGGAAGGGGTTTGTAACAGAAGCTGGTGTGAAGAGGCAACATGCACGTGCAGCATTAGGGAGCCTGGGCACCCACCTATTATCAGGCAGTGGCAATAAAGGGAATTTGCCACGCCGTAACAAGTAGAGGGGATAAAAAAAGTGTGTTCTGCTAAGAATGGCAAGAGAAAACTCACTGCTGTCCACTAGTGTCAGTGCTGGGAAGGGACACCTCTGTGACCCCCCCACTCCGCGTACTGCACGCTGCCCAGAGCAACCACCACCAGCACAGCCTGCCCCACCGCCCCGACTGGCATTGCTGCACTGAGTGACTCGGGCACCGCTATGGAATTTGACAATGTATATAGGGAGGGAAGAGGATTTTGCAAAACCAGGAACAAAGAATGAAAGGCTCACAGCACGGGGGTCCGGTTCTCTAAAGCCTGTGCTTGGGCAGGGTAATGGACTCGACACATCGCTAAGAACACACAATCTTCTCGTTCAGGTTTTATACACCATTCTGAGTACTGTGCAGCTGCGACTGGACTGGAAGCAATGCCCAGCTCTGGATTGTCTACACAGGATGCTTCCCATGCCCAGGTAATGCTGACATAGGTGTTTCCACCCTTGCACTGCAGATACAAAATCCTACCATGATGATTTGCAAAAGTTTAATATGAAATACGAAGTACAAGAATTCAACCCACAAGGGACCTCGCCAAGGAGGTGTCACAGGAGCTGCAAGAAAATATTTCCATGCTGTTCATTTTGGTAAGTTACCAAAGGCAGATGCAGACACGAATCTTCCTAGACCTATCCAAAAGAGGCATATTTTGCTGAAACAGGCACAGGAGTAGCTGCAGGGTGTTAACTGCCTAGCACAGTGGCAAAGTGCACTCAGTTTCATTGAAACTCAGCCTCCGAGCAGCCTGGTACAGCTTCTGTCCCAGGCATATGCCGATAAATGCGTACAGATACCGCACCCTCTCACGGAGGCTCCAGCCCTGGTGTCAGTGCAGTGCTGCTGAGCAGCAGGCAGCATCCCACAGCAGATTTTGTACAGTATGCAGTTCCCTGTCCTGCCGGAATAATGATGCATCTCCCATTTCTTCGAAGGATTATTTCCCTACCTTCCCAACTTCTTAACAGCAGTGTACCTTGTGGCAGGACAGCCCAGAGTCAAGCACTGGGTCTGGTAGCTAATGGAACTGCTTGTGTTTAGACTAGGAAAATGGCTTTACTCTGAAAGTGATTCCCACCAGCCAAGCTCCTTGCTCACGAGCAGGGTGCTCCTTGCTAGACTGAAAGAGGAGATGAACAGTCCAGGCTCTGATTTTGCTGCAAAGTACCACAAAAAGCGTTCATGAACTACCAGGAGCCTTCAACTCTTGTAGGAACTAGTGGAGAAGTTCTGTCAGGTCACCTGGGAAAGGGAGTGGATAGCCAGGTGGGATGCATACAGCCTTTCTCCATCCACAACTTCTAGACAGTATTTAGATCTCATAGGAAAGGTAAACAGATCTTTCAAAGATGCAAGCTTTTTGCCTTTCGCAAAATAATTTTCTGCTCATGATTCGGAAGAAAAGCTGTTTTCCTGGTGGATTTCACATTGGCTAAATTCTGCAGTCACCTCTGACAAGGGTGACATCTTCCTGCGGAGGAGATGGGAAGTGTGACTGCAAGGCCAGTTGTGTTGCTGTTTCGACATCAGTGCCAGTGGGTCAGTAAAGATCTGCTATCTACAGGCAGAGACAGCCAACAGAAACTGTAAAACCATGTCTCCTGCAAACCTGATGCTGTTCTCTCAGTACTAAAGAGGTCCTTTATTTTTGTACCTAAATGTTGACTCCTGAACAGGCTGAAATGGCTTTTTCTGTGCATTTTTCACTTGTTATTCTTTGTTACATGAAACAACAAACTGTCATCCTGACTCAACATTTCTTTTAAATTTTAGTGCTGTGAAGATCTGACTCCTGGCTACGAGAGAAAGTTGCTCACTTCTACGATGACAACTGCACCATTTGCTAAGGTCAGTTTGAGAGCACTTAAAATTAGATGCAAGCACACTAATTTTAAAACTATATTAATAAATTAGCATGCCAGCCTTGTGGTTCCAGTGCTACAGGTGACCTCTATCATCCATACGAAATTCAGATGTCCTGTGCATTTGTGCTCCTCCCCTCCTTAAGACTGAGTAATAATATACACATTGCCTATGTCTATTTTTGTTTCACGATCTCTAAGCAGGGAGTGAGCCTCAAATAAGTAGGTATGATGGGTCCTGGTTTTGCGTGAAGTTACGTACTGGCAGTGAAGGGGACAGATGCTGCTCATCAATGTCCTGGGGAAACACCTCTGACGGCGGGGGGGCAGATCAAGGTAGAGAATATTTGGGCTGCAGAGGAGGGGCAGCTCCTGCGCCAGCCACCCCCTAACCCAGCAGCGTGGCTGACTGGGGAGTGCTGGCTCCACGCTCTGCTCAAGGACGTTTGTTGCTCAAAGTGTCATGGTCCCACACGTGGGACTCTGAACTGGTACAGGAAGAAGGAGCTGGAAGCAGCTCCGGGCTGCTCGCCATCGCCTCGCTCAGCACAGCGTGGCTGCGAAGGAGAACCGAGCCAAACAACTCACGGTTATTTCTCAGCATACTTCATGTGGCTTAAAATCCCCCGAAACCAGGTAAATTATTTGAACTATTAGAGTGTTGCTTTCAGCAGGGAGACCTGTCAGATACTAAAGACTTTCAAGTTCTGGCTTATTAGTACTTGGAAGTGTAATTAATATTCACTGTAAACACACCCGTCAGACTTGATAATAAAGAATCACTAGCCTAGGAACACATACCCCACTTTCTCTGCGTTTCAGTGTTAACTTAGTCTGAAAACAACACTTAAATAGCAAACACAATAATGCTGGTGCGGTACTAACATTCCAAACTTTCCAAAATAACCATCTGAGCAGCAATTCTAAGTTGAAAAGCAACTTGGCTAAACCTTGAGGCTAATAAACTGCTTGATTAAATTAAGGGGTAAAAACTAATAAATATTCAAAACACTTGATAATGCTTTGTTTGACATAAAGAACATTTAATGCAAGTCTCACTGGAAAACCTGTCAGGTTTTATACCTTAAATAGAGTTTTGCATTTAGAAACACCGAGTGATTCCATTTGCTGCCTTTGATTATTGTCTTCTGTCACTTTAATCATGCTGGTAAAATTACACGATTTCTGTGAAGTCAAATCCGTTTACAATGCAGTTTTAATATAGCTTTGCAGCGCATTCTTCTATGCATTTTTATTTAGTTACTCCCTACCTAGCAATACTTTGCTTTGTTCTTGAGCCCTCATTAGCCTGGGGTTTGCTCTAAAGCTCTCCCAGGGAGGAACTAAATAAAATACAGTTAACCCTATGCAAAGAGATGGTCTGGAACAACGGACTGAGCCTGGGCACAGCGCCGGCTCTCCCAAGTCTCTCCCAGCCCTGCCAGCGGCTCGCTGCGCAGACAAGTCCTTGGCATCCACCATCGCTCTCACCTCCAGGCTCTTACTGAATCCTGCAAGTTTTGTTTCACAGCACCTCTGAAATCTGGAAGCCAGTTGAGGCTATGATCAGTTTGAACTACACCTCTTCCACCCTCTCTTCTCACGTCTTCTTGTCCCACCAGATTGTCCAAAATGCTGCCACTAAAGGACCTCTCTGGCATTTCACCTGTACCACTTCTCCATCAACCCCCATGCCAGCCTCCCCACCTGCCTGCCGCTCCCCAGGAAGACCAGTGCTCAGAACAGCCCTTCTGGCCTGGAGCTCCAAAACCGCCCGTGAATGCCAAAACTTCTCTTTGCCTTGGGACTCAATGTGTGCTCCCATCGCACAGTGCGTCCGCTCAACGTTAACTGTAAACGCTCCCATGCCAGGGTCAAATGCCGTAATACTCATAACTCAGGCAAAAATGAGGAGCTGAGGAGCGGTTTACAGCGTAAGGATCAGCTGTAGTCCAAAGCTAAAGCCACCACAGCAACCACAAATCTGGACTGACTCAGTCATGACTGGCCAAATTATCTTGGCCTACCTAGTCCAACACGCAAAGTGAAATCTTACTGCGTGGCACAGGAACTTTCCTTTCCAGCAATGCTCCACATCCTCTAACTCTGAGCAGATCCCCTTTGCCATCCCAATTTATTCATAATTTCATCCTAGAGTCAGTGCTTTTGTTGAATCTTGTCATCTACAGTTGGGACACTTTTGTCTTCTAATTGTCATACGTAAGGACGACAATGTTGCAAGTTTCCTAAGCGTAAAGCCAAATAAACAAGGCTAAGAGGAGAGTATTTAAACAATCATTTGAGTTTGCACAGGAACAACCAGCACCATTATTTCACAGAAAACATGTATTGCTCCTTAAAAAGCCCTCAGTAAATTCCCAAGAAGATTACTTCCTGAAATCAAAGTATCTGCATCGGTTATATCTAACCCAAATCCTCATGGGCTTTTTTAAGGGTGTTTCTTTTTTATACCAACAAGAAAAAGACTTATACAATTTAAGTCCTCTAAGTATCAAATTTAAAACAGTTCTTTCAGGTTCTGAGCATTAAACCCCGGTAAGTGCTAGTTGCTGATGTTGCTTCTTAATTGTTGTTACACCCTGATAAATAAGCTAAAAATGTGAGAAAATACAATTAGTTTAGAAAAACTGATTTTGCCATAAGCTTCATCGTTTAACTTTTTATGGTATCCATGACAACCATTGGTCCATTTATTAAATAATAGCATCCCTGGTGTAATACCAAGTACTAAAAATCCTTACAATAAACAGCAACATTTAGTTAAGTGTGTTTAGGTCAAGCACACAAACCAACCTGCGCCAAAACAAATGACAGAATGGGAGGAAAAAATGGATTGCAGACTATAGCTTTCCTTACCTTAAAGTCATCTGGGAGCAGTAGCTTAGATGTCCTTAGGAAGCTTAATATATATCTGAAAATTTCACCATCTCGATCAATGAAATAATGTTGTTTTAAACTGTCCAAGACAATAGGCTCTGTGCCATTAAACAGACGACTTATTCTGAAAAAAGAAAAGAAAAAGAAATGGGCAAAAGAGACAAAATCTCATTACACCCTCCGGGCTTAAGAACATCCAACCAATTTAGTTGCATCAATTCAATGTGCATAAGGTAACACAGTGTCTTAATTTGGTGACAAACACAAGTGCACAAAGATAGATGCCTTGGACATGTGTGCACCCGCATGCTCACACGCACGAAGCATGTGTGCACACGCAGACACAGGCGCACACACCAGCAGCGGGAGCCCCGCAGCTGCTTTGGTGCTAAGCTCGTGCTGCCCCAAATCAGGGCTGTGAATTAGGCCCATGACCCTGACAAGGGAAGTGCCTACAAAACGCTCACCCCACAGCTCGCAAAGTAATTTTGGTGAGAACATGCATCGCTGGCTCCATTATACATCCCTGCCCACCATGTCCTGCTACTGGAGAACCAAATGGTTACCCGGAGATGGGTTCCTGGCCAAGATTTTTTTCTCCAACTTGGCTGTCATTTTGAGCAAACGCCATCAAAGCCTTTCTGTGCTAGAGGAGAGGCTGCCCATACACCGAGATGAGCTGTATGGACCTGTCAGTGCTGGGTAAGCGGCCATCCAACGCTGAATGTTTTGGCAAACCAGCAACCAATGGCCCGTGCAGCATCTGCAGCGCTGCCTGTGGGACCACAGTCCCATCACAGTAGTCATGGGGATCAGAGTCTGGCAGAAGAAAGCAACGTGGTAAATCTTTTGTGAGCAAAGAAAAGGAAGCAAGACCTATGAGACTGGGGGATCAGCTGGTTACAGGACCAAAATACCACATCAGCTATATCACTCCAGCTTTCTCCACATCCTGAGGAGCACACTCTGAAGAAAGCAAACGGGACATCTGCCTGGCTGCTGTTCCTCCCACCTCTCCCCTCCAAATGCCTGGCTTCTCTCAGAACACTTTGTCTTCCCATGAGAAATAACCCAGCTGAATATATGTTCTTGAAAGGAAAAGCGCAGGAGACAGACAGCAACGACCTATTAAGTAATTGAGTCCATCTCTCTGACAGTGCAGCATTGTTCCCAACTGCAGAGTGTCTCGTGTTTCAAAGTCGAGTCTTAAATAACCCTGCCAGTGAGGACTCCTCCATTTCCCAAAGAGACTATCCCGCAACCCGCTGCATTTCACTGTTGAGCCGTCCCTTCGACTCAGCCATGCAATCTCCCCGTGTCCCTTGCTGAGACCAGGGCAGGGCTTTCCCCTGCTGTGGATAACAAGCTCACCAAACCCTGCCAAAGGCAATGGCCAGCACTGCTGGCAAACGCTGCAGCTGCAGCCTCGCTGTGTCTCTCCTTCCAGCATCGCCACCCCAAGCTTTCTGGCCCGGCAGCAAGGGGAGCGGACGCAAGAGATCACAGCCTGGTTGGGGAAGGTGCGCGCCCACCCAGTGATGGGAAGGGGCAGGTTTGCTCCCCCACCGCCGCCCGCAGTGCTGGAACGTCCGGCTGCGCCCCACGCCGCTTGGATTGTGCGTTCATGCAACACACTGAGATTTGCTCTCCACAACTGCACCTCACTCTGATGTTCTAACTTGCTAATTTAGTTGCAAATTTAATTAACGTGCCATTTATTTCTAAATTAACTGTGGCGATATTAAATAAAACTGGACTTAGCACGTCCCCACTGAATTCAGCTAAAAACCTTTCTGCCCTCTTAAGCGAGCTCCAGGTTTTACTGCCTGCTCTCATGTCCACGTCAGCGTTCAGCTAGACTGAGTTACTTACGAGAATAACCAAATGCTCCCCTAAACCCTAATTATAATACATTTACTGTTTTTCTTCAACCTCTAGCTTTTCAGTAGTATCAGAAAACACCATCCAGTTCACACTGCAACATTTAATTTATATAATCCCAAGGTTCGGTAAGCCTCCAGTAATTCATTATTTGCTGTTTGTTATTTTAGGGCTGTTTGACTGAGACAGTTAAATATATTGCTTTGTACAGTGTTAAATTTTATTCCAGGAACCAGACAGTTAATTTATTTCCTTACACATGCACACGAACCAGTGTGCTGTGCTGGGTCAGACTGAAAGGAAAGCAGAGGAAACACTGATACAGCAGCTTAAGGTTTGGTACGGTACACTTACTGAGTAAATTTGTGTGGCTATTCAAAGTCTGGAGATCTTAGACCTAAACAACCTGGGCTGTGGCTTAAACCTCCTCCCCTTCGCTGCCCTTTCTCTGTGAAGTCTGCAAAAGCAACATGCCAGCTGCTATTCGGCTCTGCCGTGCGTATGGGGGAAGGTTTGCCAACAATGACAGGGCACAGGGAAGACAGGGTACAAAATTTTAATGGGCCACTCTTTAATGTAGTGAAACATTTTTTTGGTAATGAAAACAAAACATGATTTTTGAGGCCTTTGTGGAGTGCCCTGAGCTGTATTTCTTCACCAGCGAAATTACTGCTGGGGAAAGAAACTTGCAGGGTGTTGAAAGACTTAACTGCCACCCCAAAAACAGAGTGATGAATAGTTTAAGGATTTATTTGACTTTTTAGGGGGCTGCTATGTTCCAAGAACCAACACCACTGCAGCATGTTGTAACGCTGCCTGTGGAAAGCACGCCTGCTTCTCCCTTCTCACCAGTATAAACCATACCTGTAGAAAGTCCATCAGAAAATGCAATGCTGTGAGAGCAAAGCGAACTCAAATGGCAGCTTCGAAAGGAAAATTCGCCTGACAGGGTTACTCACCACATGTGAAGCCACGGAAAAGAGCACAGTGACTAGGGGCAGCTCCGCAAGCCTCGCTGGGACCCGATGTGCTCAGTGGACGGGTCTTGGGCAGCCGGAACGAAACGTCATGCACAGAAGTGTGCAAGCAAAATGAGCACAGGCTGTCAGACAGCGGGCAAATCAGCGGGTGAAAAGGGATGGGAACGGTTTTGCACGGTACAAACTTGTTGATGTTCAATCAGAAATTAGGTATCAGTCCAGCTGGTGGCCTCAGGAAGCTGGTCCCTCCAGTGCCCCACCATGTGACGTGAGTTAAAGTCGGAGTGGCTGCAGCTCTCAGATTGGGCAGTAGTCACCCAGAAAATGATGGTTTTTATCAGCAGCTATAGTGCCCAGTACTGTACTGGTGGACAAACTGGGTAATGGCATTTTCAGGAGGCAACTGCTTATGGCATGTGGGAATGGTGCCTCCAGTGATGCTTGTGAAGAGGTGGAAGGCACAGGAGAAGAGAGACAAGGCAAGAGCCGCACTTGGATCCTACAGCAATGGGTGAGTCTGAGCAATGAACACTTCTTCAGCTTTCCCACCTTTTGCAGGAGATGCTTCACTTTCTAATTTAAAAACACTCTTGAAATTTCTGTTCAAGATTTAATTTCCAGACAGGGAGCAGACGGAGCCAGGATCAATCCAAGGAGCTGCAAGCCTAAGGCAAGCTTGCTTTTCCATTGCCTCCACCTCCCTGTCCAGGTCTCGCTATGCTCACACCATCTTCCCAGTGCACAGCTCTTCCCAGCCGTCTCTTTCTCCTTCTCTGCTGCTTCAGCCCCCCCAGCAATGTGCCTTCCCTACTGCCCAGCCACCGCTCTGCAGTGCTGCCCACCTCGCAGGGCTCCTGCTCCCGGCCACCGCCGCATCATGTCCCTGTGGAGCAGAGCCACAACAGAGTGGCATCCAGCCTCCAGCTTAGCGGGTCTCACCGGCACCTCGAGCCCCAGCTGGATGCTCTTCCCCGCTCCTCCCAACATCCAGAACACAACCTGTTGATCCTATTTCTACAATTTCTTTGTGCTTCTGTTGTTCCTGCTAAAGGCTTTTACATTTTCAATAATGTTTTGCCAAAACGCCAAGGGGCAAGTTTCTAGCTTTGTACCAATTTTACTATGATATTAAGATCTCCTTTTATTAGATTAAAAACAAACAACGCAGTCAGCCAACCCACAAGGACAAGCGTGCCAATAAATTCTTTTCTTAGTTTCTTGGGCAGGGGAGGAAACCGTGTGTTGCATGCAAGTACCTACAGACAGCTGCAGCTACCCACACCCTGCGTAATGCTGGCGACCAATTTTCCACCACGCAAGCTCCCTGCAGTGCCTGTCAAGATGGGAGCAGAGGGGCCGCAGGGCAGTGCCTCCAGCCCCCACAGCAGAGCTCGCAGCAGACCGTCTCTTTCATAAACTTTCATAAACTTACCCAACTCCAATTTCGAACAAGCCAGGGCTTTTTGCACCCTCAGCTCCCTCTGGAGCACCCAACATCATCACCAAGCACAGCCATGGTTCTGCACATCACACCCCCACCGCTGGAGGGTTTAGTGGCACTTTGGAACAGAAGAGTTTTTGGAGTGGAGGGAGTTGCTTTCTGGTTTGGAGCCAGTTTAGCCATTTTCTTGACAGCTCTCTTTTTTAACAGGGAACTGAAGTTGGTTCTTAATAAATCTGGTTCCAGGGGCTTTAAGAGGTGCACCCAGTACTGTGGGACCTGTGGCACAACCAGCAGCTGGGGTTGTGGCCAGGACCAGCAGAGCCCTCCAGTACCGAACCCCAATGCTGCAGGGGTTGCTGTGGTCCCGTCCCGTCTCCCCCCGCATGCCTGCCCAGCCACCGCGGCAATGCCACGTAAGTAAAACTCCCTATCACAACATTGCAGTAAAAGTATTAATTTAAGTAATTATGTGATTAATATTTAACTATTCAGTGATATTTTTGTCATTCATAATTTAGTTGTTTACATTTATTAAAAATTGATTCTGTAGACACTTCTGCCCAATGTCAAATCAGCAGGCAGTGCGCATTTCAGCAAACTGTGTCTCTCCTACTTTTATGGGAGGAGAGGGGAAGACGAAAGAAATGCCTGACCATGGGTCCTGCAAACATGTGGGTCTGCGCTCCACTTGGTGCCCTCCACTGTACCTGCCACTCCTCTGGGCACCCTCCTGCTCCACTCAACGCAAACACACAGAGAAGCTGACACGAGCTCCGCAGCTCTCCCTCCGTTTTATATGGCAGCTGTCAGTTGTACTTGGCTGTTGGGCCTTGCCGTGGAGCTGGACGAGGCGGCGGTTGTGGGAAATGCCGCAGAGAGGAGGAAGAGGGTTATTTAGAGCTGGGACACGGAGCGTGACCTGAAACTGCCCCGTGGGACACATTAGCAAAGCATCCCAGGTGTACGAGCAGAGTCCAGTCATTGCTGCTGAGCACAAACAGTGCTGTTCTCTCTTAAATATTTGCTCAAGGTGGGTAGGACAGATACTGTTATCTGCTTGGACGAGGAAAAATGCTGTGACTTGGAGCAGAGGTGCTCCAGAGACCAGAGTGCTTTACAAAGTGCCTGGCGCTGCTGCCCATGTAGCTCTGTCTGTTATAGGTCTGTAACTTGTCCCATCACAAGCAAGTAACTGCTGCTGGAGCAGGAGCACCCTACCCAATGCCGGTGTGCCAGAAGCCAGCTCTCTGCTGGTACTGCTACATCCCACGCGCGGCAGCACGGTCTGGGGCAGGCAGTGGACAGGGCTGCCAGATCTTTACAACA